CACGAGCAGTCCTGAATCTCGCTTAATTGGCCGTGGTTATAAGGACAGTACCAGTTAAACCAAATATGTCCTTGATACATCTGAGAGAAAAAAAAATAGTTCCATGTATACACACACACACACACACACACACACAGTCATGTAATTATATCTTTTTGGGGACCGCTCATTAATTTCTATAGGAAAAATGCTAACGCTAACTATGACAACCTTAACCCCTACCCAGCCATAACCATAATAATAAGTAACCAAACAAAATACAAAAGTTTTTGCATTTTTAGTTTTTCCATTGCAGTCACGGATTTTTATAAAATAGAGTTTTCCCATATAGGGACCAGGAAACTTCCCCATAAGGGTAAAAAAAAAAAGGGTATTCATCACGTTGTGGGGAAATTTGGTCCCCACAAGGTAAGGTATACCTGGACACACCCAGACACACACAAGTTTGTAATTATATTTTTGTGGGGACTCTGAATTCATTTCTTTGGGGCAAACTCTAATCCCAACATGACGACCTAAACCTTTCCCATAAGTAACAGAACAAAATACGAGACTTTTGGCATTTTTACTTTTTTGATTGCATTCACAGATCTTTTTGGGAACCTGAAAGCAGCATCAAATAACAGGTTTTTATTACATTGTGGGGGACATGCTTTTTATCACGGAGCTGGGATTTTCATGTGGGGAACGTTTATCCAGCATAGCCAGCTACACATTTTATGTATCCAGTTATCTATCCATTTCAATATTGACTTCCATCATGCATATATGTTACCTGCCTATTTAGAAATCTTGACGTTTAAGTAAAAATACTGTGGTGCACCAAAAATATCACAGTATACCACCCACCCATCCGTCCATCCATCCATCCACCCACCCATCCATCTATCCATCCATCCATCCATCCATCTTCTGAATCTTCCTCTCCTATCCATGGTCGCAGGTGGTCCAGAGCTTCCCTGCAGTGTCCCCTGTTCCCTTAATACTGCCCAAGCCTGTCTGTAATTAGCTTTAAGTTTGACTGTACTCCACCTGTTAAAGTTGCCACAGGGAACACTGCATTCGTTCATTGCTCAGGCAAACCGTGTCACATGCCCTCGTTTTCTTTCAAGTTCTTTCCAGTATCTGAGCTGCCATTCAGCCTCGACGTACCGTCGCGTTCCCGCCACCAAAGACGGCCACGCCTATTTTGCTCCAGTGTGGCCAAATTACTCGATTTCTCAGGGCAAACGTGACTCCCTTAAAAGGCCAGTAATGAGTGGTAAACGTCCCATTTTGAAGGATCTCCTTAGTGGCAGTGGGGGGGGGCTTACATGTTAATTACAGATATGTTTTATGAACCGGCCTTCCCACGCACGCGAAATTGAATCTGCTGCTGCCCGGAATGAAATATGCTGAGCGGTCCAGACCTGGTTCCCTCCCGGCAGTATTTCAGGCACTGAGCATGATACCTCGTCGGTGAACGATGTTTCCGGTATATTCTGGCTTCATCCCATGTGACGCTTGAACATCTAACAAGGGCTGACAAGCCTTTTGTGGATGGACGGTCAGCCTCCGAAAACTCTTGAAATCTCCAGCCAAAAAGGTACATCTACAATTTTAATGATTAAATCCATCCATCCAAATATGTTTGTTTATTTTTTTTGCGCGAACCCCCTCCCTATTCTCAAGGGATGACTGGGCAAAGACAGAAGATTCCCAGGGGACCATGCAGTACTTGCACCATTCCGACTGACTGAGCACCTCGTCTTGCACGGGGCCACGCCCCTCATCTCCGAACCCCTGCACATCGACATATCACACAGATCTCCAAATTATTAATGCCACGTCTGCCTGCGTTAAGACCGAAAAGTGGGGCAGCCAGGCGCTGCGGAGTGGAAACTTCCTTTGGAGAGAGCCTTGAATACGACACGGTTACGTAACGTCCCTGGGAGACAGGAAGCTGCGGGCAGTGACGCCCCTCTCTGTTTGCATGGGCTGTGTGCTTCCTCGTTAGCGTTAGCGCTTAACACTGGATTAATGGCCCAAGGCCTCATACTCATTTAGATCGGGTTAGACTGCCCTAGGTCAAAAAAAAAAAACGTCAAGAATTTTTAAAGAATCTTTTTAAGAATTAAGAATAAAAAAAAAAGTTAAAATTAAATGAATGCCGAGGGAGTGGTTTGCAGGTTAGGCCCCTATGTGTGTCATCGGACTGTTGCTGGTTTGAGCCTCACACATCCCCACTAGACCCTTCAGAAAGGCTCCTGACCTGCCGAAATGCTTCAGGGGCATAAGATAAATGGCCTGGAGTTGTGTTTGGACCACAAGCTGGGATATGCGATAAGAAGCTTTCCAGTGTACCCATACTTGTGCACGTGGTAAATAAAAAAAAAACATCGTTACATTTAAAAGTGCACATTTTCGCAAAGTTCCAAGATTTGCAACTGTACATGTCACAGATGCTGTGATACTTCACAGACACAAATCCTGTTTCCATGGGACAGACAGGTAGTTAGTTGCTTGTTTAGGGAATTGTGTGCTGTGAACAGTTGGGGGCGCACGATACAATGTATCTAAAAATGCTGGTGTCCATGAGCATCAGTATGCCATGGCTGTAGACGAAACTGACTGCCCAGTGAGGAGGTAAATTCCCACGTAATCCTTTAGTTGCTGTAAGGGCGGCAGCAAGGGCCTCTAATTTTAGAGCAAACCACAATCTGGCCACCAGCCGATCGTTTACTTCCTATGCAGAATCTGAGGAGTGTCGAAGTTTAATAACGAAATGCTGTGAACATGATCACTGGACACCCAGTGTAACAACATTAATTACGATGATACTCATTTGCATCATAGTGGAAACAGCTTGTATGAAAGGAACAACATGCCGTGCAATTATCGCTCTGTATGTATGTATGTACACTGTTGGATACGTCAAGGGTACGTGGAAAGTGTAATTACATTCTTACTGGAGGTGGGAATGTACAAAGAGGTGGATAGTTCAGACCAGAAAGTGAAAATCCATTACATCATTACAACTGTGTTTTTCTATTTATACAGCAATGTAAGTGTTAATGACTTTGCCTTTTCAGTCTGTAATTGTATGAAAAAGGCTAACAACACTAAGGTCACTTTATTAGGGACGTCTGCTTAATAATGCAAACGTCCTGCTCCTCCTTTGTGCCAGACGTGGTGATTCCAGCATCTCGGAAACGTCACTTACCCAGGATTTTCAATGTCTGGAGTTTACAGAGAGATAGTGTGATAGACAAAACACATCCAGTTAACGCTGGTCCTGTGGGTGAAAAGACCTTGTTAATGAGAGCGGTCAGAGGTGGACAGCCAGACTCGTTAAAGGTAATAGGGAGGCCACAAGTGCAAAAATATCAACTCGGTACTGCATTGGTGTACAGAAAGGCTGCTCTGAACGTAAGACTGGTCTATGGTTATGATATTATCTAGTTGTGCCTAGTAAACCTTTAAGATGATCTATCTATCCAGCTTTTAACAGCATATCCTGGCTTAAAGGGCCTTATTAACATGATTGGCTCAAATAATATCAATAAACGTACAAATGGACCTGGACTTTGCAAAAGAGTGAGAGACTGGTTCCCCGCCCTACACTGGCGCACAAAGACGGATGTTTTTTTGAACGAAACCTTTCATGTTCATGTTGAAATTGAAGTTTCGGTCTGATTCTATTGAAGTCTGCTATTGCTAATAAGGTCCCTTGAGCGCATGATTCTAAAATTGGGAGTTGGGTGAGGACTGGATTCTGTGGGCAACCCAGAGTGTAATGGGAGACAGGAGCGTATCAGAACACACATGCAAGTGTGTCTGCTTCGCCATTGTCAACATTAATGCCATTATCATCATCATCGTCGTCATCGTCATCATTGACCATCATCGAATTTTTAATGCATTCTTTGGGTCTTTTTACCCCCAACAACACTCCTAAGCTGATGTTCTTTTGATATGTACTTCTGTGGTTTTTAGGGAAAAAAAAAAATCGCACACAGTCATCTCCTTGTCCTTGTCTCGCTTCCTGTTATTAGATAGCCTCTTTCCACAGCAGACGCCATATCAAATGCTTGAATGGATCACCATTACAGCTCAGAATGCATCCGTCACACAGCTAGAGCACCAGAGTGCAAATAACATGCACAAGTAGCTACAATACAGTGTAACCAGTTCAGAAATCATAATATGAATGAGTGAAATGTTCTGGGAGATTTAATTATGCAGATATGCAATGATATTAGCAATATTATTTTAAACCATGTTATGCTGAAAGTATTGCATTTAGGAGAATTGTCATATACTGCACAGTCTGATGATCTGCTGACCTGCTAGATTACGGATGAAAACCTTTATAAAATGTGGCAGTTCTTGTGGGAAAAGCCATTCGGTTCAGTTCAATCCAATGCACACCATCCCCTGAGTTGTGCACTCAGCACAACCCTGTACTGGATAACCAGTTATGGAAAATGGATAGTTGGATTAAATAAACATCATCCTGTGGGTTGGCAAGAGAATGTTGAATAAAATATAGCAAGGTTTGAAGTACTCCTAAAAGAATCAACATTAACAATATTCCAAAAAGGAAAAAAAAACTATCTAGAAAACAATTTCAGGATAAGTAAAACCCTACAACAGACTTCTGAGTATTAAAATATGAAAGGTTGTTTCATGTCATTTAAGGTTACCTCTGTTTAATAGCATTTAAGATTACCTTTATTTAATAGCATTGAAGGTTTCCTCTGTTTAATAGCATTTAAGGTTTCCTCTGTTTAATAGCATTTAAGGTTACCTCTATTTAATAGCATTTAAGTTTTCCTCTGTTTAATAGCATTTAAGGTTTCCTCTGTTTAGTAGCATTTAAGGTTACCTCTGTTTAATAGTTTTATCTTTTTTGCACTGTATGTTTGTGTGCACTTTATGCACCTTACAGTCATATGCACAGGAACTTGACTTATCTTTTTTGACGTTTCCTGTGTCTCTTCCCTGATTTTTCTCCCCAGCTCCCCCCAAATTTCTAAGGACTCCCAATGACCAAACGGGAGTGCAAGGAGGGGTGGCCTCGTTCATCTGCCAAGCCACCGGGGACCCTAGGCCCAAGATAGTGTGGAACAAGAAGGGGAAGAAAGTCAGCAACCAACGATTTGAGGTATTAGGTCTATTGTTCTGATGTAAAATGCTCGACATATGAATGCCGCAAACCCGCTTGGCGCCCCGCACGGCCCCCGCTACCGCATGCACACGCACTCTGCAATGCAGCAATGCACCGCAGCCACAGTTGCATCCATCCGCCACATCTGCAGCACGCTAAAGGCAGTTAATTTAATGCATCGCTCGCCTATCACTCAAGCACCGCATTCTCCTGTGCACCCTTTGCTCTGTCGAAAACCGCATGCTTTCGTTGTGTTCTTTGGCTGACATTTCAAATTAATCTCGAATTTTGCTTCCCTCAATTAATATCACATCTTAGCTAAACACTGATAAGATTTCTGTTTTGTTGTGCTTTTATGCGTTCAATCAGATATATATGCATTTTAAATAACACATTGCATATATGCATGTTAATCTGGCCTGTTTGCCTTTGTCTCCCGCCTGCCTTCCTATCAGTGTTTATCTCTGAGTGCTGAGACTGTACCGCTTCGCACACAGTGCACACTGCTGGGGCACGGCCATGGCATGCGCCGGCCAGTGAAATGCCAGCACGGCTCGCAGCTACGCCCCCTCCCCCCAAAGCTTCCGCACTCCCCTCCCATCCCTATCGCCCCCACTTTAACAGACATACCTTCCTTCTAAGGGCGGAGCTGGGCCACTGTGACATCACTCGCTGTCACAAAGATGTCTCTAAGGGCACTGCTCTCTGACCCCACCTCACCCCCACCCCCTCCCTCCGCGCTCCAGTGCAGCAGCTCCTGTGCATTTCCCGCCTCCTACTGTCTATTTTTTACTCTGCAGCTATGGTGTTTTAGCTATTTATTTGCAATCACCCTTAAAACTGAGTTGCCACTCAGTGATTTCTGTAAGCAGTAAGTATACGGCATGCAAGGCTAGCTATGATTTGCCGTCTTTTTGGTTTCTGATCACACTAATTGTATGTGGAAGTCATTCTGATTAAACAGTCATATATCTTACATTATTCAAAACGTGGTAATTGCCTGTACGACCTCAATCATGTACTGTTTCTGTTTCATTGTTTCTCATCATCATTATTATTATTATTATTATTATTATTATTATTATTATCTCTACTACTACTACTACTACTAACATCTCATTATTATTATTATTTTAATATTATTATTATTGTTATTATTTTTATGTAACTTTAAGAATGGGGCATTTCAACGCAGAAATAAGGAAAGAAACGATTCGGGTATGAAAGTTCTGGAATACTTTCTCCAGTTACATGATTACCTCCAATTAGTGCTGCCATTCCTAAAGTTTGTTGGTCAGTGATGTAATTTTGGTTCCCATCATAAAATTTACCATACTTTTGTTACAGTTTAACTGGAGTTCAGTATTTAAGACAACAAAAAATGACGATTAAAAATGGCAGGTAACTGGATTAAAAGGCATAGATATGCATACAAATTTTCAATTTTTTCTTAAATCAGGGGGTTGGTGACCTGCAGGAATGTGACTAATCAAACACCCAATATGGATTTAAATAACTTTTTTTCTTTCTTTCTTTCATATTTTAAATTAGACTTTTAATAACATGAACATTGAAATCCAGAGAAGTACTAAAATGTGTAATTTCGGGAGCCATCTTCACTTAGCTGGTTTCAGATCGTTCCATTTTGGCCATAGACTTTTCTTTAACATGCAACATCATAGATGTTGGGCTCTTCCTAGCAAGATACATAGGTTCCCGTTGAAGGTTTCCTCATGCATTAAAATAGTGCACGGTTTCCTTAAGAGCCTATTCCTTCGTTAGCATTAAATCAGCGTGTAGTTGTTGAGCAGTTGCCAACCCCCTAAGCAGAAGGCACATCTGGATTCAGTTGGTGGAGAATCAGTACATACTAAAACCAGTTAAACATAATGACCACTGTAATTCCATTCATCAGGGTCGGAACCTGGTTCCTTCCTCCATAAGCTCCATCCATCCAGCACCAAAAAAACTCCTTTAACATATTCCGTTTCTCACACCTGCAGGTGATAGAATTCGATGACGGATCTGGGTCTGTTCTGAGAATTCAGCCGCTCCGCACCCCACGGGACGAAGCCATTTATGAGTGTGTCGCCACCAACAGTGTTGGGGAGACCAGCGCTTCCACGAGACTCACTGTTTTACGTGGTAGGTCTCCTTTGCTCCACACCAGAGACACCTGCCTCACACTCCTCTCTTCCTTTATCACCGTTTCGCTCCATTAAGCCAAGCAGGTAAGCAGCAGAATCTTTCTTCAGGAAGCCAAACTGAATTCTTCTGGTCTTTCCATCTGTCTTCTTCACCTCTGTTGGAAATCCGTGCTAAAGCTGGTAGCCGCGGCAGTCAGGGACAGCACTAGCCACCACAGCCACGCACTGCTGGCATTCTCATACCTCTGTAATGCAAATTAGGGGTTTAAGCGGGATGTGGCGCCAAGCCATCGCTCGGGGTGACCTCGGTTATTTTACGCAAAGCTGATTGACATGCCCCTTTGTCAAGGCTGTTTCATGCTAGCTTTAAGACTGTAAGGCTAACTTTTCAGGACTCTGATGTTCTTCTAGAAAGACAAATCGTTGTAAAAAATATATATATATATATATATATATACCGTGAGGGCGAACGCTGATGAAAAAATGATCTACATGTCCATGATATGGAGATATTGCCCTTATCGCGGTGGTCACTGGGATGGAATGATGGTTACGTGTTTTTATCACACCCCGTGCCTCTGGGGTTATGGGAGTGCACGTAGAATTGTGTATGAATCATCTGTGATTGTATCCTTCCATGAATTTTATGGTTTGTTGGCTCAGCTTTGGATCATCGTGACCTTGGGTAGGATCTTCTAGCGATTGTGGATGTCTACCTAGTAGGTGGTAGTCACCAGATAGAATCTGGTGCTGAACAGTATGTTTTAGTACATCTAAAGAACATCTCTAAAGGCAGGTGGTGAAGTTATGGTTGAGAAGATATCTAGGCGAAGCTGTTTCATTGGCCTTAGATTACGTACCTGGATACATGGAATTGGCACAGGAGTACAAAGCAACATGAGCAGAATGTATTTTCTTAGTGTTTCTCCTGCAGTTCTGAAAGATAGAAAATTTGCCTTGGATTTAAATTTTATGTTACAGAGTGCATACACCGTATATTTACATATACACATGCGTGGGAGAGGTGAGGTTATGGGTCTTGAGTTTGACGGGCTGCTGAGTTGTCATCTGTGGAACGGTTAAAGCACGGAGATACATTTGTGGACCTGAATTCTGGTCCCCAGTGACTAAACAACCCTTAAGCGGAGTCCTGGTCACCCATTCGGCGTTCTGGTCTTATCTCCCTAAGGTACAAGCAGAGCCGAACTCCAGAGACGGTAGAGGCTTTCCGCGGTGAACTTCGAGTCGTTACCATCGCTTGCACTGAATGATTTAACAGGCGAGGGGAAGGCGTTTGCTTTCAGCGTTGAGCTGACCAGCATTAGCATGTTAATCACCAGCTCCTTCCAACACACATTTACAGACGCGCATTCCCCCTCCCCCTCCCTCCGCCCCTCCCTTTAAAAGACGAGGGGACATGGCAGCGTCTGCCAGGGAGGACTGCATTAGCCTGTGATGCGATAAGCCCCGATGTGGCAGGAAGCCGAGAGAACGGAGCAGCATGTCGACCGGAAGGAGATAACAGATGCCTAAGCAGCGGCCCCTGTAGTTACCTAGAGGGAAGGCAGGTTCTTACCTGAGGTCAGCGTGAGCCCGGCGAACATACACAAACACCTGCTGAATTGTAGATAATCCACTTGGCGAGCTTCTGCTGCTGGGGAGAATGACTGTAATCACGACAAACGCTGCTTGTAATCCGTACCTTCCCTGCCGAGCGCCATGTTGCCTTTGGTTGGCATGTACCTGGGAAGGCACCTTTGCTTTAGGGTACCTGCTTCAGATATTTAATATAGCGTCTACAATTTGAAAGAGGCTCCAACTGAGCCTACCAACCTTTTCAAATTAAAATTGCATTATAATGATGTTATTGATGGCATTATTATTATTATTATTATTCTTATTATTATTATTATTATCTCTGTATGCCCTGGAGCCTAGTTGGTGGATCATAGCAGTGTAAAATGCTTCTATTTTCCTTGGAAGGCTGGAGTTTGCTTTGCAGGTATCCTGGCTTTGCAGGACTTTATATATCAGTTGCCTACATAACAGGGTGTCTGTCTGCCTGCTTAGTAAACTCAAGGTTTCTCCTTGAACGTCTGACTCTCCTTTGTCTGCATTGATGTCTTTCTCTTACCGATTATGACTCTGACGGGCTTCCCCTTTCAGACCTCTGCTCTATCCCTTCTGTGCGTTTTGCCATAAAAATCTCAACATTAAAAAAGCTGAAGATCCAGAGGTGTCATCCTGGAGGGGTCCTGGAATGTTTTTATCTGTTTGGGGCTGGAGGTCTTTTATGTATGAATAACAGCAGGTTTATTTGCGACACTTCGTCATTGTGAGAGGAAAATCAATGGAGATGCTAATACTCACAAAGTGACTTGCAGTGAGCTTCGTTCGTGCCCCAGGTGGCAGCGCAGCGAATTGGAAGCATCTGTTCTGATAAATGGGTCTTGGGTTACAGCTAATTCTATAAAACAGGAGTTTGGAGGTTTAATTACAAAGCCACAAGACCAAGTCTTGGATCAGGGTTGTAGGACAGCAGATTAACGTGGAGGCAAGCCACCAGAGTCAAAAGATTGAAACAATTAGCAGAGGTGGACATTTCAGGTCCAGAAAGTAAAAATCCAGACCAGGATTTTGTTTCAACCAACCAGCTGAGCATAAAATGTTAGTCATATAGTACTCAAGTGGTTGGTTGAAACAAAATCCTGGTCTGGATTTTTATTTTCTGGACCTGAAGTGTCCACCTCTGATAATTACAAAGAGTGAAGAGTAGAATTCATGTTCTCCATTCAGTCCTGCAAATGTGAAGAATCTCTTTTTTTCTGGCATTTTTAGCCATTTGAGGGAAAATATTAAATTGAGCAAAGGCAGTTGTGAAATACTCTGGCTGTGGTCTCTGATTTATGGCATGAAGGTTGACCCACCACACAGCTCAAGGGGAGAAACAAATGGAGACAAATTACGTTTTAAATTTAAAAGATGTCTATAAATATTGGCCTGACACCTCCTTAAGACATTGAACTCTTTAGGATTAGCTAATAGTTTAAGGATCTAGACTAATTTAGTCCAAATTTATAGTATTTTCGCAAGAATATTGTCAAGAAAGATTTTTTTTTAATAATTTTTGAAGACTGAAATGTTATTGTTTTTAACATTTTATTGGACTGATTGTATCATGGGTAATCCACTTTCAATGCATAGAATTTCTGCATTGAGCTGGCATCCTGTCCCAGGAATTCCTCTGCCTTCTGCTCAATTCTGTAGGCTCCATCCCCCCCCCCACCCCATGACCCTGACATTTTCAGTTGGATGATAGATGGATGTTATTTATTATTGTATTTATATATTATTGTAATTATTGTATTTCAATAATAGTCTGACCATGAATCGTGTAACTGCCTAAGCTTTTATATAATTGTATACTGCTGTTCTTGGTTTTGCTGCAGCTCTGTTAGCTAATCTCATGATACCTGAGGGCAATAAAAGAAAAGCAAAAAGCTGCCTTGAGTTTGCCCCGCAGCATCATGTGTCAGCACCCTTTTTGACAGGAAATGTGGTCGATTTTCCGGTTGGCATCAGTTTGGCCAATCGGCTGCTTCAGTGGTGGAAGCGACTCTGTCACTGCGGTGGAGGGTTTCACAAAGAGGTCCCGTCACTTGATGCGCTTCAGCTTTCTTTGCCCAGAGACAGGACGTCCTAATCACAAGATAATAAGGTACGACAGAAGAATGTGCTGCCAGAATCGACGGGCTTGTTTGCGGTGCCGTGGCCTCGCTGTCTTTGACGACGAATCAAAAGTAGTGGAGGTATGAGAAGGAACCACGGGAACTCAGACTACAGTAAAGATCTGAGCTCTCTGGCAGTTATTTATGTGCCGTGTGAAGCACAGCATCTGTTCTGGCAATTTCTTAACACATCTGTCACCACACGTTCAGTGTGGGTTCGTAGCATGTTATTAAGTATTCTTACTGTGAAGCATTCTGGATTCTGGATTTTTCTTTGGGTGGAGAGCTGTGACTGAGGAGAATACAGTTCAGATGGGCATCGTGTGCTGTCTAAATGTACAGCAGCCTGAGACTTGCATCCGCACCACAATATACATAAAGGTACAAAATGTCTTCCACTTAATGATTTTAAGCCCACTTTCATTTGGCAACTGTGCGACAGTATGCTTCACATTTCCTAGAACTTGGTAGCACACCACAAATAAGCAATTCAAATAATTTAATGCACTTAATAATTATTCCAAACCCAAATACAATGGGCCTTCAATGCTGCAGTTCCTTATTTTAACATACCCTTAAGCGTTATCGTCTAGACATGACTTAGCTTGTGAAAAACGTTAAACAAGTCATAAAACTCCAGAACCCGTTTTTACGATCCCAGCTCCCCCAGCTCTCGTGAAACCCAAAGGACATTGCATTTCACATTCAACTGTTTAATTATTATTTACTTTCCCTAAAGATCATGAAAAATATATGAGTGTGTTTCTGTAAGCTAACGGCACGATTCAGACAGTCTGATTTAAAAACAGCAGTTGGCTTTATATTCAGAGCAGTAAATGTAACGCCTCAGACTTGGAAAACAAAAAAGTCAGTAAAAGTTTTGATCACATAAATAATAACAATGTTAAATTACAATAGTCTTCTATTAAGAGTCTTGTACAGATCTTGGAAAGTTCCCAAATTATGACTAAGATGAATAGCTTATAAAGATTCCCCCCATTCTCCAATGAGGCTGGATATTGGCGTGCTCCTAGTTTGATGATGAGGTTGCTCACCTATTCACGCGCCCTCTAGACCTGCCGTATGTGTCTGTTAGCGTCATTAACAAAAAGCTAAAAATCTAAAAGCAGGAAGCCATCGCGGAAGATACCACTGTCGGAAACGGGGGCCGCAGGGCGCACGCCTCTCGCTCTCCTCGCAGCCTTTTCGGAGCAGGCCTTTTCAAACCCGCCGACTTATCTTACTGCCCAGGTGAACGCTTTCTGTGAGG